TTGGGTCAGAAAAAACAGCAGGAGGAGCCATTGGCTCCCACTGCTGTCAATCACAGACACTGCAGAGGGAGCAGGGGGTGGGGCTGAGCCATGCTTTATGCATGTAATGGACACAGAGTAGGGCTCAGGAGTGAGCATGCATGAGTACCCCCCAGAGCAAGCAGCTTGCTCTAGGGAGCACTTGGCAGGGGGGAGGAGCCAGTGGGGAACTCAAGAAAAGGTGGTTCAGGGCGCTCTGTGAAAACCATTGCAGACAGTGGGCAAGTTAAAAAAAAAAAAAAAAATAAAACAAAAAACTAAACGTTTTATAATAATACCTTTACAATTACTTAAAGGGCTGTACCCTCCGTACCAAGGAACAGTCTTTAGGAACATGTGCATTGCACCCATAGGCCACTGATCATGACTGCAATGCTTTGTAGGCTCATCTGCAAAAAAAAAAAAAATAAATGCATATTTTGTCGTTGCATTTATTAATTTTTGTTTTGCTAAAGGTAGATTACGCCTTTTATAAAACATTCTATAACCTTATTAACTGGTATTAAAAAAACAAAACAAACCAGCCAACATGCTGCAGCAGAATGAAAACCAGTTACTTGACCTTTATTAAGTTCTGACGCTCACTGAAATGTTATTCCAAACCCAGAACCGACTGGCCGCTGAATGGCGGCTCTGCTGTAATTTAATAACCGGTTCATCAAGACCACATCGGTGGCGGCACGCGACGCACAACAGAAAGCCCAACAGTCTCCTTTTAAACCAACTTAGTGACTTTATTGATGAGCGACAACCTTGTACTCCTAAATATCACTAAACTGTGTACAATTAGGAACTGAACATTATAGGAGAGCGAAGACAGCGAAATTAAAACGAAGCAGACTGGAAGGAGAAAGCGATCGTCTTGTTTGCTCTTTTTGTCGTTCACTGATCCGTGTGTACACAGATGCCTTGGGAGGGTTTCTGTGGTGTGGCAGTAAAGTTGCATCACTCATCTATACTAACTTCTTTTTTTTAAATTCAATGCCTTTTTTTTTTTTAATTTTTTTTTTTTTTGCCTGCAAATCAGTTTTAAAGCCTTCGGCTGCTGGAGGTTGCATTCCGATTTAAAAAGACTGCCGCTGTCCAGCAGGGAGGGAGTTAAAACCTAATAATAGTTCCTATGAGGCACCCAGCATCACTGAAAAAGCCTTAGAATTCCTTTTTTTAGCCTGATCAATGCAAGAAAGTGATTTTTTTTTTTTTATACTGTTTACCGATTCGGCATTCTAAAAAGCGGTCTCTGTGAAGGATTCATCGGACGGGGGCGGGGTAGGGGGGGGGGGGGGGTATGCTGGAAGGGGACTCTAGGAATTAATTGTATTCACGTGTACAAGATTGAATGCTGGTGCGTTTAGTCTTTGGCGAAGCGTGGAGGGTTGCCCGAAGGCGACGCAGCCACTTCTAGCCTAGACGCTAAAAAAAAAAAAAAAAAAAATAAAAAATAAAAAATCTATTCTCTTTATTAATAAGAATCAGTAGACCTTCTCCATGGGGTTATCCCCGAACTGTAGCAGTAATCGCTGAACATCACTTGTCAGGGGGTTTGGTGGAGATGTTCAGCCGTAAGCTGCTGCTTCAAAAAAGTATCGAATCGCCCTGGTTAAAAGTCATCCTCGGGCTCCGGAGGGAGGGATACAGACTGATATAGCATGGTTCTCATAGACCCCTCCTTAGCTTTAACATGGGGTTATAGGAGGCTCACCAGTTACTATTATAAATAGTGGAACTCCAGAGGAAAATGTAATATTGGGTATGGTAGAGATGGATGAACCCCATCAGGTTTTAATGCCCTAGTGTCCCTGTTGGGAAGATATTAGTCACTTCCTGCAAAAGTGACAACAGTCAGAGGGAAATATGAAAACAAGCCAGCAGTAAAGACCTGACAGATGTTCTCTCTCCTCCTCGTTGTAAAGTTTTCCTCGGCTGGAATGAGGCAAAGGAAGAATGTACATTAAAAGGAGAATTGTAGTCAAAGCTCTTCTTCTCATGGGGATCACAGGCGTGCAGTTTGTTCTGTTACCGCTTTTCCGCTGACAGTAGGCTAAAGTCCGCTGACATCACTCAGCTGGCCCAGGCTCAGGAAACAGCCTGACTTTAAAGTCAGGATCTACCCAGATGCCTGAACCAGCAGCTGGCTCAGCCGCTCAATGAGACGCCGACAGCCTGAGCCAGCCACTCCCACCACCTCCACAGCCCAGCGTTCCAGTGAGCGCTGGAGGTACAGAGCAGAGAGCTGGAGGTTGACAGTCACCGCTGTCTGCTCAATGGGAGACCGAGGATGGAGTGATCAGTGATCTTTAATCGCTCAGTTCTCAGTCTTAGAGAAGGCGAGGAACATCTGCAGCATCAAATCAATGCTGCACTCACCTAGGCGAGCGTAAATTGTTTTCTTTTTTTTTTTTTGTGAACCCATACTTCTCTTAAAGCGGGAGTTCCACTCACGCTGTCAAAAAAGAAAAGTCAGCAGCTACAAAAACTGTAGTTGCTGACTTTTAAAAAAACAGCCACTTACCTGTCCATCGGTCCTGCGGTGTGTCCCCCGCAGCCCGTTTAACTGACCGTCCTGTATTCCAGGAGGCCAGCATCTTCAGTGTGGCCACCCGGCTGTGATAGCTTGCGGCTTCCCAGCCGGGCACCCACTGTGCATGCGCGAGTAGCGCTGCGCTTCATGAATGGTCCTGGAGTCTTCTGGGACCTGTCATGTGTCCCAAAAGACTACAGGGAGGGAGGACACCTTCCGCTTCCGATTGCCTAGGCAATCGGACCGGAAGTGGGAGCGGGTACCTGTCAAATTCGGGTACCTGCCCCCCAAAGGTGCCAATCCTTAATGAGGAGCGGAGGAGCAGTCCTTAAAGCAGAACTTCCCCTTTTGGGTGGAACTCAGATTTAATATGCTGCTTCAGCTTGGTGCTGCTCTACAAAGAGCCTGATGATCAGCTGGCAATCATGCTTGCCCAAATTCTGGTGTTCTCCCATCTCTTCATTATTGTCCCCCACTAGATGTAGCAATACTAGGCTAACCAAATGAGCCAAATGGCTGACTCTCCAAGGCTTTGCTCACACGTGCAGGCAGGGGGCAGCAAAATCAAGTTGTTGAGCCGTGGTTTTGCCACCTCAACTGCCCACCTGGACACTGACATGCAGACACTTTGGCTGTACACAAAACTGATGTTATACTCTGGGGGGGGGTCACAGGCAAAATTAAACCGCAAGCCGCATGTGGTGGCGTTACCACTGCCTAATGCGACCTGTATGGGGCCGCCCTGCAACTGCATGCTATGAACACAATTACGGTGCAATGATTCGACATCTACAGGGTTCAGTCAGGGGGTGAGGAAGCCTCTTCACCACCTGTCAAGCTTCTCCAGAAAGTGATCCATTGCAGTTCGTTTTTCAGAGGGGCAGCAATTGTTGCCGCACATGTAAATGAGCCTCTAATCATGTTTTCATCTGGACACACACACAAAATAGAGAGATATATATATAGATATATATATCTATCTATCTATCGATCTCTATCTGTGTATGGGGCACAAAGCAAGCGGGATCTTTAACCAGCAGACAGAGCACTGTCACGTAAGGAGCAGCCAGGTAAAGGGGATTTTCTCCACGGAGACACTATTTATGTACAGTCTTCTCTTGCCTCAGAGCAGAAATAATAGAACTTCTATACCTTTTCCACAACCCTTCCAAATTTTTTATTTGGTTTTGGGCAAAGTGAGGAAAAGTTAGAATCTCTGTCAATTTTTTTTTTTTACCAGATTTTTCTTTTATATTAAGTGTTGAAAAGAACAGGGGAGGATCCTCCAAACAGAACAGAGACAGAAATTAAAATGTGTTTTTAGAAGCGATGAGGGAAGGTTAAGTACTCTGTCCATCAGGGAAATTTCCCTTCTTGTCCAGGTGACAGGTATGAGACAGAGCAAGAAGTGAGAATATACCCCCACAGCATGGGCACAACATTTAAAGGGAAGGTCCTCTTTTTCACCCCTCATTACCATGATAATGACATTTTTAAATAAAATGTTTCCATTTCATACATAATTTTAGACGCAGTGATGACATCACTGGGTCTCTGTTCCTCTCTGTGCAATGCAATCAGATCATGGCTGGTTGGAGGGGCCAGCAAGGTGCTGTACATAGCCTTTCCAAAGCCCACGGTCCTGATGCAAAGCAATGGGCTGGCTCATGGGAGGAGTTATGCAAATATCAAACTGCCTTGATGGGTGGGAGTCAGTCTGGAGGAGTGGGCATCCCTAGGCAGGTTGTATTTGCATGCAGAATGCCCTCATGTAAAGCTGAGCCTCCATTAATGAAATAACTGAAATCCAATGAAGGGGGTGGTCCAGGGTAAGTCAGGCTGGGGAGGACAGAGCTAGATGATGGCAGATGTCCACCAGCCAGGAAATGAGATGGGCTCTGACTTGCTGCAGCTTCTAATGCACACTGTGAAATAGTCACAGTGTGCAGTGAAATCAGAGGAAGCCATTTCAGTCCAGGAGAGGAGCCGGTACAACTGTGCAAGACTGGGGTTCAGCTTTAAAACCTGACAGAGGTTCCAACCCTAGCTCACGACATCCAAAACTATTTTTTTTTTTTTTTTTGCTGGAGATTTGACATAATTTGTGTTTTTACAAGTCACATGTGTGCTTAAAACATCCTCATTTTTGAGCAGGAATTTTTACGCTTTGCCGCTCCCTCGGTCCTCACTCAGGAAGGATGCAGCAAAGAGAATCAGATTAATCCTTTTCTCGTATTCTACTCTAAAAAAAAAAAAAAAAAAAATTTTCAAGAGAGGGGAAACAAAGTCATAAGGAAAAGCTCAGGAGAAGCGGAGAAGGAAGATCACTCGAAAAAGAGTAGAGAGAGTTAAAAGGAAGTGAAAACAGAGAGAGGTGATTCGTGTGTCTATGAAGCAGGAGTCTTGCGCGTGCGCCAGCTCACACAGCGCCAAGCGGAGTTCACAGCAGGTCTACGCGGCGGTAATACAGGAGGTAGGCCGTGCGCTCTACAGTCTGTTTCACCACCTGGAACTGGTTTATCACTTTGACAGTCTGGTCATCGATACGCAGCCAGCCGTTAAGACCGATCTGGAAGACGTCTGTAGTGTAGTGGCCGCCAGTGGCACTGTTTCCGTGGTGGTACACAACTGGGGGGAAAAAAAAAAAAAAAAAAGAACAAAATAATTACAGGGGGGTCCAAAAAACAGTCAAGAGGGTTCAGGGACAAGAGAGAGAAAGAATACACAGGACATTACAATCTCAATAGGCACTTGTTCCTAGTGACCAGCGCTGATTGGCTCAAAGTCCTGGGCTATCCTGGTGAGAGGTGATGGTAGTACGGATGATGAGGAAGACTGAAATGGGGGGGCCCGTATGGCACTAAGGGCATGAGAGGAGCAGAAGCGCCTCTAAGTGCAGCATAACACTTTATTATCCACTTCCTGTCCAGGCCAATTCACCCCCTTCCTGTCCAGGCCAATTCACCCCCTTCCTGTCCCAATTCACCCCCTGTCCTGTCCAGGCCAATTTTCAGCTTTCAGCGCGATCACACTTTGAATGAAATTGCGCGGTCATGCAACACTGTACCCATATGAATTTTTTAGCATTTGCTTGAGACAGATAAAGCTTTATTTTGGTGGTATTTATTCACCGCTGGGATTTTTTATTTTTTTTGCTATGTAAATGAAAATGTCCAAAAATTTTGGAAAAAAGTGTTTTTTCTTATAAAAGTTTGCAAATAAATAATATTTCATCATAAATCTTGGCCAAAATTTATTCCGTTATCTTTTTAGTAAAAAAAAAAAAAAAAATAAGCCAAATTAGTTTATAACCAAAAATAATAATTTTAAAAACATTTTTATTTAAAAATTTATTTTTGGATTTTATTTTTTTTTTTAACATACTGTCACCCTAGCAGTACAGTGTCACCATGGTGACACTGTACTACTTGTGGGGGGTAATGAAGATTTTTTTTTTTTTTTTTTTTTTTTTTTTTTACACTGATTGCTTTTTCACCCATATAGGATGTAAAAGCAATGATTTCTCTTTCTCTCTGTGCATTCTTGCAGCCATTGAGAACTACTGAGTGAGCTGTGATTGGTCACAGCTTGTCACATGGTACAAGGATGTTGTGAATAGCCTTGTACCATGTGACCTCTGTGATCATTCACAGATTTCACACGTAGTAAGCAATGTCACAAGTGACATCTTGCTTACTACTTTGCATGTGATCACTGATTAGCCAATCAGTGATCACATGATCGGGACCTCGTACAGAGGTCCCGTCCGATGATCGGTGTTTCACTGTGTCCGGAGGACACAGCGTGCACCGGATCGCGGTGCTGCGCGCTCCCGGGGAGCGCACACAAGCAGGGTGTGGGGAGACCTTTTATAAACGGCCACCCGACCCTGCACTGACCACCGTCCGGCCGTTTATATACAACGGCCCGGACGGGAGGTGGTTAAGGATCAAAAAGGTAGGAACACTCACATTACGAAGGTAAATAAATAGCATAAAAACGTGGTTCGGTGTCACATCGGACAGGTGGGTATGCAGAGTAATGAGCGGTCATCAGTGTGGAGTAGTCAGCGGACCGCTGCAGCAGCGTGGTGGCTGGAGGGGAACAGCTGTGGAGCCGGCCAGCGTGCACGTCCCCACTCAAGCCGGGTGGAACGCAGCGACGGCGTGGCCGCGATGACGTCAGATACCCAAGGTGGACTGCGACTTGTTTCAGACGTCATCATGGCCACGCCGTTCCACACGGCTTGAGTGAGGACGTGCACGCCGGCCGGCTCCACAGCTGTCCCCCTCCAGCCACCACGCTGCTCCAGCGGTACGCTGACTACTCCACACTGATGACCGCTCATTACTCTGCATACCCACCTGTCCGATGTGACACCGAACCACGTTTTTATGCTATTCATTTACCTCCGTAATGTGAGTTTTCCTACCTTTGATCCTTAATAAAGTGTTATGCTGCACTTAGAGGCGCTTCTTTCTTCTCTCACTTGTTCGTAGTGACAAGAGGCCCCCGGTTGCAAGTATCCAATCACAGTGGCCACACGATCATAAACCCCGCCCTCCGGGCATCAGAAACCCCTTAAAGGGCGGGAGGCAGCGGCATTAATGATAGATTCAATTTAAAACCTGAAGTCGTTTTTCTAAAATATTAGCAGCAAATTACCAAACTCTCTGATAAGATTTACCTGCAAAGAGCCTGTAGGTCCTTTGTCCTTTAAATATCTTGCTTTTTACTCCAGGAGAAAGCAAATCTAGAGAGGAGTGAGATAGAAACAAATCAGAATTTTATTTTATGTACAGCAGCCTGGAGACAGATCGCAAGAATAAAGCAGAAAACGGGGTAGGATTTAGAAGTACAGGTGTACCTCGGCTTACAAATTTAATTCATTCTGCGGGAAATTTCGTATTGCGAAAAATTCGTAAACCGAAAAGTGGTTTCCCCTCATGAATGCATTGAAAACCAATTAATCCATTCTGGAGGTCAGAAAAAAGTTTAAAAAAAAAATGTTTTTTTATCTGTTCAAAACTCTTTATAAAGTGCACTTTAAAGGCATAAACACTGTACAGGGACATGATTAAAAATTAACTTGTAAAATGCATTGAAAATCAATCCTTTCCAGAGGTCAGAAAATCAAAAAAAGTAAAAAAAAAAAAAAAAAAAAAAAAAAAGTCTTCTGTTCAAAACTCTTTATAAAGTACACTTTAACCACATGCCTATTGGGCACTTATACCCCTTCCTGCCCAATTTCCAGCTTTCAGCGCTGTTGCACTTTGAATGACAATTGCGCGGTCATGCAACACTGTACCCATATGACATTTTTAGCTTTTTTGTGACAGATAGAGCTTTATTTTGGTGGTATTTAATCACCTCTGGGTTTTTTATTTTTTTAAAAATAAAAACAGCTGATCACATGACCGAGCCGACATCTTTGGCTCTTTCCGTGGATCGATGATCCGCTGTGTCCGAGGGACACAGCGCACCACCCATCGCTGTGCTGCACGCTCCGGGAGCCGCGCATGCGTGGTTAGAATGGGAGGACGTCATATGACGTCCTCCCAGAACGAGAGAACTGCCTTGCGTCCGTCATATTACTATATGGCGGGCGGGAGGTGGTTAAAGTCAAATACTGTACAGGGACATGATTAAAAATTAATTCGTAAAATGCATTAAAAAATCAATGAATTCGTTCTGGACGACAGAAAATCAAAAAAAGTAAAAAAAAAAAAAAAAGTTATCTGTTCAAAACTCTTTATAAAGTGCACTTTAAAGACACGGGGGCCGGCGTTATAAACGCTTCATATTGCAAAAAAATGTGTAAACCGAGGCATTATTTTCAATGGATTTTCATTTGTAAACCGAAAATTACATTAACCAAGGCGTCCGTAAACCGAGGTACACCTGTATCCATATATGAAGGCAAAGACTTGAACTTCGATATGCAGGCAGTTTTGCACACTACAACTTACTCTACAAGACGCCCCTTCTCCTTTACACTACATGATGGTGGATGGGAAGCTTGTAGCCTGCATATTATAGATTGCAGGGTCTCTCCCACCTTCTGCAGGTCAGTGATCGTTCACAGTCCTTTAATACATCACTGGAGTATGGCTCAGAGGACCTGAACTGTAGCAGCTGTGCCTAAAAATAGGCAGGCAGAGAAAGACTGACTAGTCACCAGTATTGTCTGTGGTCTCTCTGCAGGTTATCTCACCTTTCTTGATTTACCATGCCCTGTTCTGTACTGTGTCTCAAGGACGGTCATATTAGAAGAGAAAAAGAGCTTTGTTTTCTTCTGTCAGAGTTGCCCCCCCGATGACTGGGGATCTGAAGACTGGTGCGGTAATGACAAAGGTAGAAGAAGCACAGATCCACAGAACGACAAAGCAGAAGCAGGGAGATTCTGGCACTGCAGGTCCTCAGGTACAGCTCTCCCTCCAGCAAAGAGAATGTTGAGTAGCACAGTGGTGACATCACCAAATCTCACTCCACAGCCAGTGACATCAGTAGTCGCAGGCAGTAGTGTCTTAGAGGACCTCACACTGCAGATTTACAGCTGTGAGGCACCATTACTTTCAGGGAACTGCTTAGGTTCAATCACAATTTCTAAATGCTCCCTGTAAAGTAGCAAATCTTTACTTTATAGGATCTAAAGTGGACTTGAGATCATAATGTGGAAGTGGAGCTTGGGACCTGAAGCCAAAAGACAGCACTAACAAAATGGAACCTTCCAATTTCAGATTTAATTGACTTTTTTTTTTTTTAATATTCCTTTACCGAAATGCTCCATTTCATTCCATTCAGAGAACAATTTAAAAGGGAGATTATCACTGGGTGTGGGGGAGGATGCAATTTTTTTGATCTTTAGGCCGGGTTCACATATATGCGGTGCGGTATATCTCATGTGATTCACACATGAGATATACCGCATACAAATCGCATTCCTGTGCGAATCACATGCGATTTGTGTGCGGTGCGATTGGAGCCATACATTTTGTATGGCTCTAATCGCACCCAAAACACACAGGACCCTTTTTGAGTCTGCACCAGAATCCAATCGTATAGGTATTCACACCTATGCGATCCGATTCTGCACATTGCACCGCGTTTTGTGGACAGCTTTCAGGTTGTTAATCTGATGAAGGGGTCCTGTGAGACTCCGAAATGTTGCCTTGCTGTAACTATGTGATAGTTTATTAAAACTTTTGGACCCGTATTGGTGATCCTTGGTGTGCTGGTGACATTCTCCCTTGTTAACATACACACCCACAGCGGTTCGCATGAACGGGGTGCGATTCTGATGCGGTGTGGAATTCGCACTGAAAACGCGGCGAATTCCGCACATCAGTGTGAACCAGGGCTGAAAGTAAACATTTCCTGGGAAAAAAACAAGAAGATAAACATTTATGATTCCCATCTGAAAATGCTAGTTGCTTGGCTATTATACTGGCCCAATGACTAAGAGACAAAGTCGCTGTTATGGAACAAGTATGAGAATCGGGAGAGTGAGATTTCATTCGCCTACTTGTTCTGGGACGGCCATAAATCTGCATTTTTCTTTCGATCGTCCCCTCCGCTCACCTTTACTAATTTCCAGATCTACGGGATATTCGATATTCTTCACCAGCTTCTGGCAGCCGCCAGTCTTCTCGAACACAAAGCGTTTGAGGTGCAGAACGAGCACAGGAGGCAGCTCCTCCAGAGTTACTCGCCGACTGATTTCCACCTGGAGGGAGAAGAGGAGTTAGGAGGACAAGACAAGCCATTTCTTGACAAATCAGAACCCCAAGAGCTAGTTGGGCTCAGAATTCTACATAAAAAAAAAAAAAAAAATAATAAAATAAAGTGAAATCCTGGGCTTTTCTCAGGGAAAAGCTCATTATCGTGGGTGGTGCAATTACAAATCCCATGAAGCACTGCGACACCAGCAGTCACATTTTCTAGCAAGAGGCACATTGCTTGCAGTGTTTTATTCTTCTTGATTTGTTATTTACTTGCAAACATTTTATTACTCTCGGCTTTTACCTGCAATCTTTTTGGATTGGTGGGTTTCTTTAAATATAAAATATATATCACTTGCTGCAATTCCTGACTCCTCTCTGGGGCTGTCTTCTGCAGACTCACCATTTCGAGGTCAGTGCTGGACGCTGTGGTCTGTGTCCCAGCTGCGGAGGTGGTCGTGAACCTTTTTTTTTCATGCATTAACCTCCCTAGCGGTCTGATTATGTCAGTATTTCTGTGCTCAAAGCAGTACATTTTTTGGCATGGAAATATGTGTTTTTTTTTTATTGTAGGCCTGTAATTTTTAGGAATAACTCACTGAAATCTGTCCGAACAAGAGTCTAGTAAACATCCCGGGGATGATAAATTTTGAAACACAATCATAAAATGATATTATAATAATCATAAAAAATAATAATAATAATAATAATAATAAATTGAATTCAATAATATAATCAAACCAAAAACACTGAAATGTGAAATAGAGCGCCAAGTTCGCACATCGCTGAGCTCAGTCGCAGAATCGTTTTCAGTGTCTGATGAGGAATTTCCCCCACGAATCATTATCACTCAATTCTGCAAGTGGTGTTCTGATTTACTATCGCTGTTCTCTAGCCCGGTCTAAAACCGCTTTTGACATAAAGGGACGCTTTTTGGACGCTTGGACGTTTCTCAGTTTCCAGGCAGAAAGAACCGTAAAAATGCAGGCAGGGCGCCGGACAAAGCACTCGGGACAAAATGTATGTGAAATGGTTTGATACAGGAATGTTATACTATGTGATTTTAGTGTATTTAGTGAATGTCACTTTTACAACTTTCAAATTTCCCGCCAGTTCCGTTCCCCCCCGTTACGTCCTGATGTCGCAGGGAACCCAGAAGACAGATGCCAGCATCAGCCGGAGGACATTACAGGGGACACTGCAGGGGGGACATCACGGGAGCGCAGGACAAGGTAAGTGAACAAGAGATCCCGGAGCAACGCTGCAGTGTATTCCCGAGTGTAGCTCGGGGTTACCACTTGAGGTGCTGAAACTTTATACCGAGCTACACTTGGCAATACCGCCAGGGAGGTTAAGGTGCGCAAGCAGTTAATTTGAAATGAACCGCAGCCTTCAAGTATGAATATAAATAGCTGGTTTCCAGTCCAAAACAGGCCGCGAAGGGAAGCTCTCCCCAAACATGACACAGACAGTACAATAACACCCACCCATCAAGGCATTCTGATATTTGCATCATTCTCCCAAGAGTTGAGCCCATGGCTTGGTTTAGGGCTGAGAGTTCTTGAAAGGCGATGTCTTTAGAAAGCCATGTACAGCACCCTGCTAGCTGCTTTTGCCAGCCATAATTTGGTCGTATTGCATAGAGAAGCACAGAGACCCAATAATGAAAATAGAGGTTATTTAAAAATATCATCAGCTTGTAGAGGAGGCTGTAGAAAAAGCCTCATTGCATGCAGCAAAATCTTAGAGGCAAACTACCACCTGCTCTGTCTGGCGGTAAAGAGACCTCCCTTACACAAAGAGATGCAGACGAGGAGTGCGACCCAGACAGGCCGCAGACAGCAGGAATTCTCAGCCCTGGAAGCAGAAGCTGGAAAGGGCTCCAAGTGGTGGCTTGCGTTTAGCTACAATAATACGAGTTAATACGGCGGGTCAGGCACTTGTCTGCAGCCAGGCCCAGAAGTGTCTGACAAGGCCAATAAAATTACTGGTTTCCGCAAACAAAACGCATCCATCTAAAATTGACTTTTCTTGCTCAGCTGGTAAGGAAACTGGTGGGCGGCCAATGTGTCAGAGGCTGTGGAGTTACAGAGATTCCTATAATATTGATCAGTGTGTTTGTTGGAGAAATGCTCCATAGTGCAGAGTCTGGGCCTGACAAGACAATCCAAAGAACAAGAAAACCGATTTTTTAAGAGGCAATAAGTCAAAAACAGTATTTTTTCACCCAGACAGGCCTGGCTTCCCTCAATGTTGCCCCCCCCCCCCCCCCCCCCCCCCCCCGCACGATACAATTATTTTAGCTCTAAAGTGGTTGTAAAGGCTCAACTCATTCTATGCATGATCGTAAAAAACATTCTGTGTGCAGCCCCGTAATACGTACCTGAGCCCCATCTTGATCCAATGATGTGCACGAGAGCCTCAGCTTTCCCAGATGTCTCCCTCCTCATTGGCTGAAACAGCAGTGGGAGCCACTGAGAGTGGGGTAGGTGCAACCTGTCACCATGGGGGGGTTTGGTTGGGGGGAGCAGCTTGTCAGTGGTGTATGGGTGCAGATTGTGCTGGTTTGCTCACCCGGACCACATTCATTTCTCTCTCCTCCTTGGTTGCCAACATCCTTTTTCCTCCAGCGCAAACACCAGCAAGGAGGCGGCATCCAAATACAAAGGGACAGGGCTGAGATGTGCCTGAGGGTTTAGAACAGGCTGTTCTGTCTATAGAGGGGTTATAGTCCCTGTGTTGGAGGAAAGAACACTGTAGTCTATGAAACACTTGCCCTGGCTTGCTGCCCGACCCCCAGCAGGCCATGGACTGGTACTAGTCCAAGGCATGGAGGTTGGGGGTCCTCTGACATAGGGGACTTGTGAGTCCTTGTGAGTTAGCAATAAAGTTTTTTAAAAAAATAATCTGAAATATAAGCCCCCCCCCTACCAATCGTCCCCATAACCCCACACACCAATATAAAAAAAAAACACTGTGAAGGGCAAGCATATGTACGAAAACACCAAATGCACAAGTGAGGCATCATTTAAGCTCCTCCCCCTCCCCCCACCAATCATCCCCATACACACCCAATATAAAAAGCACCATGTAGGGTGAGCACATGTGTGTAAACACTGTCCTGGCTCGCTGCCCGGCCCCCAGCAGGCCATGGACTGGTACTAGTCCAAGGCATGGAGGTTGGGGGTCCTCTGACATAGGGGACTTTGAGTCCTTGTGTTAGCAATAAAGTTTTTAAAAAAATCTGAAATTTAAGCTCCCCCCCTATCGTCCCCATACACACCCAATATAAAAAAAACCACTGTGTAGAGCGAGCACATGTAAGACACTGTCCTGGCTCGCTGCGGCCCCAAGCAGGGCATGGACTGGGACTGGTACTGGTCCAAGGCATGGAGGTTGGGGGTCCTCTGACATAGGGGACTTGTGAGTCCTTGTGTTAGCAATAACGTTTTTTAAAAAAAATTATCTGAAAATGTAAGCTCCCCACCAATCATCCCCATACACGCCCAATCTAAAAAGCACCGTGTAGGGCGAGCACATGTATGTAAACACTGTCCTGGCTCGCTGCCCGGCCCCCAGCAGGGCACGGACTGGTACTGGTCCAAGGCATGGAGGCTGGGGTCCTCTGACATAGGGACTTGTGAGTCCTTGTGTTAGCAATAAAGTTAACAAAAAATCTTAAATTTAAGCTACCCCCCCCCCAATTATCCCCATACACACCCAATATAAAAAGCACTGTTGTAGGGCAAGTATATGTACATAAACACCGAATGCACCACAAGTGAGGCATCATTGTGAACACAGGAGTGAAAGCAATGATTCTAGGGCCATAATTCACAGTTAACTAGAAACCTCTAAAAGGCAACGGAGAATTTTGGGTCTCAAAATGTTTGCAATTTCACGGGCGTGCACAATTTTAAGATTTGACCTATCCGGTATCCATTTATTTGGTGCAACCCAATCGATTATATTTTACCAAAAAAATGGGTCTAATATTGTGTTTTTGTTTGCACTAAAATTCCATTTTAGTGTGTTTTCTTCCTAAAATTATGTGTTTAAAAAGGTGCGCAAATATCATGCTACAGAAAACAATTCTGACACCCACCGTTTTATTCCACAGAGCCTCTCTTTTCAGAACATATATATTTTTGGGGATTTACAGTAATTTCTAGCAAAAAATTGCCGATTTTTTTTTTTTAAATGTAAAGAATCGCTCCGGTAAATAAGTGGTTAAGCCATCAGCCGCAGCATCTTTTGGAGAGGCCTCACCACACACCAGCATCATCTTTGTTTTCAATACGCCGGCTCCTGTTCATTACGGCACGGACATAGCACTGGCACACAATCTGAGACAGGCTGTGAAAAAGCACACAGAGTTTGTTTATGGAAGCTGGAACTTTCTGAATTTTCTAACTTGGATTGTGCTTTTCATCTGTGAGCCATCTCCAGAACCCCAAGGCCAGCCAAAGCCTTGACTAAAAATCTCATGTATCATAACACAAAGTAGCAAATTAGAACTCCTTCTGTCCTTATTATGGCAGCACCGTTTGATGATTATTATTAAACAGGATTTATATGGCGCCAACAGTTTGCTCAGCGCTTTACAATATAAAGGGAGACAATACAGTAACAATACAGTTCAATACAAGAGGGATAAGAGGGCCCTGATCCTTTGAGCTTACAATCTAAGAGGGAGGGGCTGGTGGTACAAAAGGTGATAACTGTGGGGGATGGACTGGTAGGAGGAATAGAAGATTCCATTACTAGCTGAAGGCAGGACAGGCTTCCCTAAAGAGATAGGTTTTTAGAGATTGCCAAAAAGCGGGCAGAAAAGGCGATAGTTGGATTGGGGTAGAGAGTTCCAGAGGATGGGGGGAGCTCTGGAGACGAGCATGGGAAGGAGGCGGCAAGGGAGCTAGAAAGCAGGGAGGTCGTGGGAAAAGTGGAGAGGACGGTTTGGGTGATATTTGGAGACAAGATTGGTGATGTAATTGGGGGCAGAGTT